TTTGGGATCAAATGGTTTGAGGGAAAAAAAAATAAATCACCATTATAAAGAAAACAGTGACAGTTTGGTCACTTTTTTCCCCTGAAAGTGAATCAGGTATATTTCCATGGTAAAGCAAACGCACAAAGGTATTCAGTGAGATAAAGTCCTGATGATGTATTTGAGAGAGTTACAGCAAACTGTAAAATTATGGGGTTAACAAACATTCTCTAAATGTTATTAGTTAAGAAATCTATTTGTGAAGCTTGCACAGAGCTAAGAATTTATTTTAATGCTTTCTTTGTTTGTTTTTTAAAGGGTCTTCTGAATAGAAATCTATTAAAACTTTCCCATACAGGACTTTACCTAAGAATGCAGCACCATGTTTATGGGAGAAAATAAGAGGCAGGTTCTTGAAACAAAAAGGACTGTGCCAGACATCTTACTGCTGGGAAAAAAAAAAAAAGAGTAACCCCATGGCCATCAGTTGGATTACTCTACACCTCTACACTATCAATTTGAGGAAGCCCTTAAATGTGCAGGAAATGTCCCTAAGTACTCCAGGCACAGAAAAGTCTCCTCCCAACCTGGGGGGAAACCCCTAATACTGTCTTGTCCAATTAAATACTCAGCTCTTCAGCAAGGGTTTGTAAATGCCTTCATATATGCAGAATGCAAAATAAAACGTCTGAGGAGGTGAGGAAAATTCCCTCAAAAGGCAACTCAAGGCATTTGGGATGGCAGGTTTAACCGACCTCTGATTTCAAAATATGAAATTTACTCTCTACCCATTTGCAAAACCTCCCCTAGAAACTCTCCCCCTATCCTTCCGATGGCACGGAATTACTCAGCATCACAGCAGCGAGGCACTAGCTAACCGTAACACGGTTTCATCTAACCTACATTCAGAACTCTTCCAGAAGAGGTCTGTATAGCAATAAAATACACAATTGTTTCTTCTTTTTGTCTGGCTTGCAAGACCCACAATAACTTTGTGACTAAACCTCATTGCAGGCATTTTTAGTGCAAAGGCACATTGTTTGCAAAGAAACAGGGACTGTGAAGTTATGGGCTCAGCTGGTCCTCAGAAGAAAAGGAATAGACAATGACTTACTGCAAGATAATCAGCTCTCGGCTCTACTTTAATATTTTCAATATTTATCCACAAAAATCCTCTGATTTCGAGCAGGGCCTTGACAGACTATAATAATCCAAATAAAACACATGAGGTTGTTGTTTTCAAGGGAGGAGCAGCTCACTTGTGATTGCATTTCCTCCTTTCTGTTCTCTGGACACCATCCAACAACAACAGCACCAGCACCAGCCTCAAGGACACGGGCACTGCTGCCCTGTGCCCCGCAACAGCGGCAGCTCCAGGGCATCGTCCAGGTGCTCCGTGTGTGCCATGGAAGGCTCAAAATGCACAGCTCAAAACAACCCTCTCACAGGGGATGCCTTCATTCAAACATCCTTCCTATCCGAGCTCAAGCACCAAGCTCTTGGCTGAGTCCCCAAGCCATTAAGGCTTGCTTCCCCTCGTCTGTCATTATCTACTTAACATGAAAGCAGACATCCTTGAGGTACACCCAGATCCGTGCCCATTAAAAGGATCTGCAAATTCCTGGTCTCAAGCAGCCTTTCAAGTTTGCTGGGCATCCCATCACTCTTTTACCGAGCGACAGGGGGACATGAGCATGCCTCAGTTATCTTCCCCATACTATTTTTACCTTAGTACGTATAAAGCACGACCCTTCCTTTTGGTTTCCTCTTCATAAGCAGAGATTGAGAAGGTCCTACTGTCACTGCACTGCACATCTCTGGACTTCCACTAAGCCAAACTAAATGTGGCACTGAAAGAGAGGATAAACCACTGTTTTATGTAACAGCATTCAAAAAATGTAAAAAAATCAGAACATTCAAATATTATTTAAAACTGTGCCTCCCAATTACAGTAACACATTTATCTGCAGCAGCCTCTTAGTTCTAAGCACCAAATTTCACATGATTTTGGGAAACCCTGCTGCCTAATATCAGTCAAGTTACAGGGCTTCTCCCTAGCATGCAAGGACCCACTCTATTAGGACTTAATTTACAGCGTGCAATAAGTTATCTCAAAATTCTGTTTTTCAAAGCTTATCACTGAAGTTATCAAGCTCTTTTCTTAAGGTGGCTTCCTGTGTATCATGAAACAGATGCTTTGTAGTTGCAAACAGTCCTGACTGCAAGTAGCTGTTTGCTGCTTTAGGTAAATGCATAAAGGACAGATTCCTTCCTGCATTTAATGCATGCATCGGAGCAGCCACGTGTTCTAGAATGGGCAGCTCCAAAAGGCAGCCAGCTAAAACATCAAGATGATGCTCAGACCTTCTCCCAAACAGATGTGATAAAACTGCATGTAGATATTTAACATTAACCTTAATGAATCCTTTTACAAGTCTGGCTGAACTCCCCAACCCGCCCCCAACCACTGACACCACCTCCACGACAGCTGGCCAGCAGCACTCTCTTTAAATGTTCTTTAATTCCTGCCCTACAGGATCTGTATTCAGAGGGAGTGCACCCGATACAGCCTTCTTCAAGGAAATGCTGTTCACCTATTTCTGGTGCTGTCCCTATACACCTAGGGCTCGATCTGTCTCAGCTGGTGTGCAGATATCCTGCCCCTGTGCCCTCTCACAACAGAGCTGTTGTGTCAAACTGCTTTGTACTGGAACCATGGCAGTCCCTCGACTTTTGCTGCAAAAGCTTGTACTGCTGACTCGTGGGCACTTGGGATTTTCAAGACATTTGCCCGAGTTAGTTTCTGTTTGAAGGACAGAGAACCATTCAGTACCCCAGAGGTGGCTGAAGAGCTGGTGTTTCTTAAATAGATTTCTTTCTTTATTACACATAGAGAAGCAGACCATACTTTCTCTGCATCAAAGTCAGGGCCAGCATTTTGAAAATAAGGCTCTGAACATTGCAGAACACTGAATTTAAAAATACCGAGTGTGCAGTTATCTGTCGGGGCCTCATTTTTAGTGAGGCTGTTTTATCCCAACCCTCACTCACACTGCAGGTTGCTCAGAGCTTTTGAGAAATGAATCCACAGCTATCTTCTTTTTAAAAGCTATGTGACCCCTAAGAAAATGAGGCAATAGAACAGAAACTCTTTGGGGATGAAACAGCAGCGGGCCTAAGCCAAGGCTCACTGATGACTATGGAGGGGCTTCAGAGACTCCAGGATATTTCGAGGCTGGCCAAGGAACGCAAAGGATGGATACAATTGCTTGTATTGTGGAGCATCCTTGCTAGGAAGACCCAGCGACTGCAGCAGGCCTTTCATCTCGCTTCCAAACATCCAGGTATCGGTAGGGGGTTTCTTCAATGGTATCATAACCTTGTTCTTTTAAAAACCAAGCTGGCTTCAGAAGGGGCTAGCACCAGTTATCACATCCATCTCGATGGGCATCTTGGATTTGGGTATTCTCAGTATTAGTAACAACCAGAAATCCTAAACAATTAATTTATCAAGAGACTGCTGTAGAACTAAATGCCCGATGCTGAAAGAGTACAAATCCCTACTGCAGTACATTGCTTTCTCTAGCAAACAGCATGAATTCAGCATCCAAAACCTAAGGTAAACAGTTATTGCTGAGTAATCCTATCCAGTAACTCTGTGGCACAAGCCAACCAGAAATAATGTCCCACATCAGTCCTATAGCAACTGCTTAACAAAGGAAGACTTCTGCTTAAGTCCTTATTAAAATTACTATTATTATTTTTTTTTGCCTAAAGAATATATTGCTTCCTTTCTATTGCTCTGAGTTTACTCAGCAGTTTATACTACCTGCAACATGGAGGATTTTATTGCTGTTATATTAAAAAACATTCTTTCCTTATTGCTGAAATTCTTACTGTTAGGAGAAATGGTTAAAAAAAGACAATTAAAATAAACCTTTCCCTAAGCTTTGAGGTTGAACGGGCGACAAAAAATGACTGCAGTAAATTTTGCTCATCAAGATACAAACCTGTTATTTAACTTAAGGTCAAGTATGCCAATAAATTAAAATGAACTTTAAATCTTTAAACCGAGTTACTCATTCATTAAAAAAATCTTTTGTCACTATGATTAAGATACTTCACTGCACATAGCATTCTGAGTTCTACAATGGCCTTACGCACAGGTGCTGTTAAGTGGGGCCATAAATGACAGATTCCTGCACGCTGCCCAGATTTCTGCCAGTTTCAGAAGGATTGTGGATGGACACTGGCGCCTCACCATAAAGAGGTGAGGCTTACGTGCTCTGAGGTAAGAGCACTGAGATGTTTAACTCTGAAGAGCCAACATCCTCAGTGGTCACAGCAGTAGCTTGGGAAGCAAAACCACGCTTCTCACCTGTTTGCAATGAAAGGCAAAACACACGCTACTCATCAAATGAGGGCAAAAAATGACCCTATGAGCCAGTCGTGTGTGACTTCTATAATTAATCCTGCTCTCCTCTGTTCGACTCTGACTGCTCCTCAGGAGAGGAGCTTCCAATTACAAACCTCTCTGCTCTGGTACACGGATAAGGTCGGCTGCCCCGGCACTCTGGAGAGCCTCTGTGGAGTTGGGCAGCCTGTGGAATGAGGAAGATGACAAGGACATTAGGTGAACCAGCATGAAAGAGGGGACAAGATTATTCCCTCCATGCTTTTTCTGGTTTGCCTACCACCCAGGTAGAAGAGAGAAGAACACTAGTGCCTGCGAGGTGATCCAAGATGAGAACAGGTCTTCATAAGCAGCTGAACAGTTGCCCTCGGGACTGAATTATGGTCACAGTTGTAGCTGCTCATCCTCATAACACTGCTTGGCAATTTGATAAAGGTGAACAATTACAAAAAGAAAGAGAAAAAAACAAAAAGAGGGGGCTAGACCTTGTACGACTTCAACACACCTCATTTGTTATTTTAAAAAGTGCCACTCCACATTATTCTGCCTCTCTACATTATTCAGTTCATGACTTTTGCTGCCATTTATTCCCAGTACTTTGCATACTTGCAAAACTGCACGCATACAGAGCATGGATATTTATGAAGTGATTATTTCTTATACAAAAATCCGTAGCAAAACAGGGACTTGGCAACGACTAGAGTTTCATTAGCATTCGGAAGTAGATAAAGAACACCAATATCCTACGCAGAGTAGGGGCCACAGTCTAACTGTGCTGAGCATCTGTAAATTGCAGCGAAGCCAAGGGAGCTGCACGCTCACAGCTCTACTAGACCATGCCATGCAATTATTGAACTAATCAGATTACAAAGTAAGAGCCAAATATCAGGAAGGTTGAATCAAGTAGATAATGGAATTTGAACCCAGCATTGCAACTTAAATTAGTTATTGCTCATAAAACCTCTACAGAGCCTCGTTTACAGACAATTCATTCACATTTGAGATTCAGCTTTGTGTATAGCATATGATTCCTAACATCACAGAAACTCTGCCACAAAAAGCTACAGTCACCCAAACACCCATGTGAGAAGGACAGATTCCATTTGGAAAAATCCAGACCAGCAACACAGTTGTCTCTACAATCTATACTATACAGGCATTTTTTTCTTAATTGAACTGTAAATATTGCTATTTTTACACTTGAGATTTTTTTTTTTAAACCGTAATGGAAGATACTGAAGCAACACCACAGTACACTGACTTTGACATTCAAGGGAGTGTAACCTCCTGCTGATGCCAGGGCATGGCCACAGCGAGCTCCCATGAATGCCAGTGGAAGCGGTGCCATGGGCTCCCATGCACTGACAGTAGCCTTAAATTTCATGAAGAAATCGCCCAGGAAGGTTTTCTCTCTGACAATCAAGTCTTCAGATTAGAAAACAACATTTTATTCCTATTGCATTCTAATGTGGCTTCAGTAAAAGGTTAGAAGCAGTTTTAAATTTAACCATGAGAGGAAGCTTTTGAGACCAGAACTATCGTCCTATAACGAAGTGAACTGCCATGCATACAGTGCACAGAATCACAATCTGTAATGGATGAAACTGCCAGAGAAGGAGAAAACGTCGTTTCATGTTGCAGTTCTGGTTGCATACAATTACGGACCAGATATGCTCTGAGAATTTATCAACTTCTGTATTTCAAATTATAGCAGAAGAGCAAAAAACAAGTGTAGTAAGTGCAAATAGTTTTGACTTGATAACAAACTTCGGGGGAACCATTTCATGCAGAAATGAACTAAATACATGTTGCAAGTAATTTGTAAGTGATTTTATTTGATATTTCCTTATTAAAAGGCAAACTTGTCCAAGAAGCTTGGAAGCGTTGCCTCTATTACAAATGCACAGCCGAAAGAGGCCATATTGTTTCATCAATTTTGAAACTCCCCACTGAATTCTTTTAAAATTAATAATATAATGAGCTCTGATGCCCCACATCTAAGTGAAAACAGAAGCCTGGCTTTTGAATAGGGAGACAAAGCATATCTTCTGTTTCAACATCCAGCCAGAACTCAGTAGAGGGCAGGTAACTCTTCAAAAATAAAGATAGAGCTAATTCATGCTGAGACATAAAGTAAAAGCCATACAAGTACTTCCTCACTTAGAGCAAATTTGCTGCACTGAGATTATTACAACACATACCATATAAACCAGTACAATTGGCCATTATTTTGAAGAGTATTCTGATGATATACGTTTGGGTTTGTGGTAACAGGACATGTGTTTTCTTTTTTTTTTTTTTTCCTTCTGCTTTAGTGAGAAAAAATGAGGGAAAAAATACCCTGACAACAGACTGTAACGTGCAGTATGGCTGAACTCAATCACATAAACAATTTCAGATGAGGTATGCTGTTTCAATCTATATTTAATTAGCAAACTTAATGTAAAATTATGGCAAACGTGGCAAAGTCTGGATTATATATTCATAACAAAAGACCCTGAGCAACATTATAAATCTGTAAGAACACTGATTATTTTGATTTTGGAGATCTCTCTTAAACCGCTTGATTCATTTTGGTCTCTGGGGTTTGCTGTTTACACAGAGGTCAGCACATTCTGTGGTTTTTATACGAGCCCATCACACACCGGTTAATGAATGCATCTAAACCAAAGACAGTGTCGCAAGAATGTCTGGGAAGTAACGTGTTAAGCAGCGTGCTCCTGGCTGCCAGTCAGACATCACTGGGCGATCTTGCTCTCTGGGACAGGTTGGAAGGAATACAGCCACAACAGATGAGCCAAAGCGCTTTCTGGATCTCCTGGTTTCTAAAAGCATATATTACAGGATTGATGATGGAATTGTAGGTAGCTGGCAGGAGGGTGGCATAGGTGTATATAGAAGGATAGGTGTAATCTGCTATTAGAGAATAGAGTGTAAAAGGCATCCAGCAAGCAGCAAAAGTCCCCAAAATAATGGCCAAAGTAGACACTCCTTTTCGGGTGGTCACATAGTGGGAAGTGGCCAGGAAATGGTGTTGCAAGGCAATCTGATGGGCATGGCGCATCACGATTTTACAGATCTGAATGTAGAGCTGCAGCATGAGGGCAAACATAAGCAAGAAAGAGACCGAAAGGACAGCCGCGTTATTTTTAGTGAGCGGTCTGATAACACTGCAGGTGGATTCATCTCTGAGGCAGTTCCAGCCCATTACAGGCAGCAGTCCAATACAGATAGATGCTCCCCAGAGCAATATAAGCATGACATAGGTAAAAGTGACAGTCCTCTCCGAATTGTAAGTCAAAGCGTAATACAGGGAGAGGTAACGATCGACAGTAATGGCCAGCAAGCTGCCGACAGATGCTGAGAAAGAGGCAACAATCAGTCCAATCGTAACCAGTTTCGTAGCTTCTGATTGCAGCAGGTACGCGAAAACGAAATTGATGATCAGTCCAATTCCCGCTAAGAGATCTGCGAGCGCCAGGCTGCCTATCAGGAGGAACATGGGGGCGCGGAGACTGGGGTTATGGAAAATGATAAGGACCACAACGGCATTTTCGCAGGAGATGAGGGTCCCTGAAGTGCACAAGACAATGTCCCAGGGGTTTACCAAGAGCTCTGGCTCTGGGTCTACGACAGGAACCAGGGAGGAGCCTGCAGCTGAGGCATTCTCGGGGGAGCTGGCTTCTACATGGTCCTGAGGCAGCCAGCTCAAATTAACCTTCAGATCTTCATTCATTTTAACCCCTGTCTTCTTCAACAGAAAGACATTTTTTTTTTTTTTAATGTTCAGACACACAGCACTGGAGACAGCACCCCGAGAGCATGCAACGCCCCAGAGACAGGCGACACCAACCTAACGTGCGGGGCAGGCACTTGTTACGTAAATGTGACAATTAAAAAATAAACGAGGAAAAAAAAAAAAAGAGGGAGAAAACCCTGAAAACCGCCCGAGATTATCCGCCAAGGGGCCGACACCCTGAGGGATCCTCAGGGCAATTCCCTTCACCTGCAGAGGGGAACAGGCACAGGACAGCACGCTGAGAGCCCATAAAAGGGGTTAAAAAAAAAACAAATACACAGATTTAAGGAAAAAAAACGTACAATCACACCCCAATTTGAGGGTGTAAACCCGTTATTCCGCAGCCCAAAGGAGGGGGGGGGGGGCTCCTTCACCGACCCCCTGTGAGAACCCCGCCCGGGGATGGGGATGGCGGGGGGGGGGGGGGGGGGGGAGGTATTTTTCCTCAGCAAACTCCCCCAAAAAACTCCGCGCAGGTACCGAAGGGGCACGGCTCTGACACCACCACGGCCCCCCCTCCCCACACAGCCCGGCGGCGGTCACCTGCGTTATCCCGGAGGAGGAGGAGGAGGAGGAGGAGGAGGAGGAGGAGAAGCCGAGGGTCGCCAGCGGCGCCCGGCCGCGCTCGCCCGGCTGAGGCGCAGGGGGCCGAGGGAGGGCGCAGGTGCGCGCGCGCCCCCCCCCCCCCCCAACTGAAGCCTTGCGCGAGCGCGCAAGGGTTTTCGGAGGGGAGGGGGCGGAGGGGGGGGGGAGCTGGCCTCGTGCGCGCGCGCCTGCGCAGGTGCGCCCCGCCGCGTGCGCGCGCGCCTGTGAGGGGATGGGAGGGAGGGAGGGGGGGGGCGGGCGCTGCTGAGGGGGCGGCGGTGGCGGTGCCACAGCGGCCCCCGCCCGGTTGTTTAATATTAAGATTGGACAAGACCTCCAAAATGATCAGTTCCAAGCACCCCTCGACCACCAATGTCACCCGCATGTCCCCAAGCACCACGTCCAACCTCTCCTTGAGCACCCCCAGGGACGGTGACGCCGCCACCTCCCTGAAGTTCTGTGGTGCTGCGTGTTGTAACAGTGTGAAAATGAAAATATTGCATAAAACATGCAGGGACCGTGCAAAGCATCTGGGCAGGAGCAGGTAGCACCCCTCAGAGAGCATATGGGAGGTGAGGGAAGCCGGCTGCCACCCTCCTAGGACATTAGGGACGTCACGTATTTAATAGCGCAGGTCAGCACTGTTCGGGGTTTTTGCTGAGCTGGAAATTGCAATTCCCCTGAGGCCACAGGGATGAGGAACCACGCCACCCATGTGTCCACACCACGCCACACACAGATGTTTGCCTACAGAGGCTGGCCTCCCACCATCCCCTGTATTACCAATGGACAGAGGCATCTCCTCCGGGGCATGCCAAAACAGTGGGGTCAGTTGGGATGCTGAAACATCTCTAGAAGAGCTTGAGCAATTTTAAGAAAGCTTGCTTTGTCCTCATTTGCACTGGCATATACCTGCAGCACGTTGGAAAGCCTGGACCTGGAGTTGGCAGAGAAGAATTTCCTCCTCCCTTGTTGAGTAATGGGCTCAGACCTACCCCCGCCACGGTGCTAAGGCTTGTGAGGCTCTGCAGGCTGATTCACGATGATTTATCCTTACTTCTGGTGACCCTCCTGCTTTGTAACGAGGATTAAAGATGGATTTCACCTTGCTGCTGATTGCGGTCTTTGTGATTTATCTGTTGATTTCTTATGTGACAGTGTAACAAATGTTTTCCCTTCATCTAGACTGAGTATGTCTGTTGTGTTTCAGCATCCGTCACTCTTTCATTTAGAGCAGTCGCATTAAAAAATGGCAAAAGCTTTTCTTCATCCAGCTTCAACATTTGTTTCACAAATGGGGAAAACCAGCATTTCAATTAAATATTTTAATTTAGGACTTTAGAGAGCTGTGTTTATTCACTTAGTTAATTTGCGAACGATTTCCATTCCAATTAGGACACATTATAAACAAGCTAATGTTTGTATCCTGTATTGCCAGGTTGTCACTTTTTAGAGAGACAGTGGACTGTCTTAGTCATTAGGGCAGATGGCATTGGCACAGATTTCACTCAGCAGCACAACAGAGCAGCTGTAATTTAGAGGAGGATCTCTCTTTTTTTGTATCCTGAAGATTAACAGATGCAAAAATTAGCGATGGGTCATAGTTAAAGAGCTCTTGTACCACTGTCTTAATCCTGATCTCGGTCTCTCTCTCATGAGCATGCTCCTACAGATGACGTTTGCTTGACCCTCGTGCTAGCACAGAACAGCCTGGTCCTGGATCAGGAGACCAAGGTCGGGCTGTGCTGGCTGTGGATATGAGGTAGGGATGAGGTAGGATCCCTGTCTGACGCTCTGACTGCCATGGTGATGTACAAAGATGCTCTGGCCTGTCTCAGGTAACACAAAATGGCTTTCATAACATGGGTGTACCCAGAGGCATGGGAAGTCTAGTGCTTTTATCTATCTCAGGGCATGGTTTGGAAGTTATTTACTCTTCAGGCAGTCTCTGGCCTGCTGTCTCCAGGACATCTGTGTGATTTTGGCCACCCAGTCCTGTGACCTCATGGTCTGAGTGGAGGGAGCATCAGGCTTTGGGATGCATCCTGATTTACCCAGTGTGTAAGTACAAAGCTGACCATAGCAGCCAAACAACCCCATTCAAAGAGGAAAAAATGATCCTTAACTAACACAAGATATTCCTCACCTGAAGCCTGACCGCTTTGCAGACCTTCCTTCAGAAAATCCAGCAGGGTCCCATGCCTTTGTCTTGCTTTTTCCTAAGCACTCTGTCTTTTTAATGCCTTTTTATAGGTTCCATTATAGGTTCCTAGACTCTCACCTGCATAGCCAAAACCATCAGGTCAATTGACAGTCTGGAACTCTTTACTTCAGATTTTTCCCTATGCGTAGTTTCATAGTAACCTAAACCAAAATATTAAAAAAGTTAATATTCTAGTGACAACTCATGCAGATAGTAATGGGTAGTTGAATAAAGGAAGCATGAAGAACCCAAATATAGGACAATAGCCTTTGTGTGTTTTAGAAATGTCTTTTGTTAAAATTTTCTTTAAAAAGATTTAGAATCTTCTTAACTATCCACAGTGAACTTATTGAGTGTAAAATTCATTGAAACCCAAATATTTGGTAAAGCAGAGAAATAACTTAGAATTCTATATACTACTGTACAAAGAGTTATAAAAAACATCGTGTCACACTGAGCTATACATAGTGTTAAAGTACATACCGCTACCTTATCCCTGAACTTACCTCTATAATTTCTCTAGTATGGAACATTAACAATTTTAGACAGCAATAAAAAGAAGGATAAGTTTTATTTTTAACTGTGTATCCATCTTCTCCACCTAGCTTTGGCCTGTCTCTTAATTACTTTAGAGATTCCCTCCTGCAGAGTGAGAAGTGACTTGAGGTTCCACAAATGAGTTTGTCACTTCTTTTTAATTCCTTCCTCATTGCCAATTCAGTTTCTATTTTGACAGGGAGCTGGCTTTACGTTGATTTAATCTTCAGTGTCACATGAGTGTCATTTAGATGCTCCGACAACCTAAAGAGCCAAACACTGCCCCTGCAACAAAACTGTCCAGTTATCACTGACCTTTCAAAATCTTTGAGCTTTTATTTTGCTACATTTTTTTTTTCTCCTTCTGGTGGACCAAGTGTTGAGGTCTTCACTCATTTTATCTCAACTACTTAGACAAGCTGAAAGCAATAGGAGCATAACTAAAGTAAGAATTATATAGAGGATGCTTTGGGTGCACTCCTTTAGCCCAAATCAGTCCTTTGTCAATTTTTGAAGGAAAGAAAGAAAATGGAGAGTAAAAGAATACTTGCCAACATATGTCAATTTAATGGAAAATAAATCTTGTCAAACAGACCTGATGTTATTACAAGGGGAAGATATATTTTATTCCTCCATAGGTGCAACAGATTTTGAAAGGCATTTGTCTTACTGTATGGCACCATAATAAAAGTGCCAATTTTAATTAAAATATATGGGAAATACCTAGTTTAATAAAATCTCTTAAAACACTAGTTGGCTGTATATGAGAGTTCCCCATGCAGGGCTGTAACAAAGAGGGCTGCTGTGACCTAGGGAGAACCATGACCAGAAACACGGAGGTGATATTAACTCTGGACAGGGCATTGATGAAATCAGTATTGGAAAGCTGGATACAGTTCAGACTAAAGTATTTTTAAAAGGTACTGAGAAACAAATGAGAATTCAGGAAAGAGTCACAGGTATGATACTGAAGATATGAGAAATTGTCTCAGATTAAGGACTTACAGAATTTACTGTTTTCAGTTTCTCTGAAAGAAGATTGAGAGATGACTGGGTTACAGCATACTTTCACCACACTTCGGATGGCTCTGGAATCTAACAGAATAGCATATCTTCCAGAAAATTCCTGGAAGCCAAAGTCAGAGAAGTTCAGATTCAAAATTAAGCACATTTAATAGCATGATAATTATGCACTGGAACAACTCATCCAGCACAAGAATGGATCCTTTACTCATTTCCTCTTTACTTTTTTTTTAAGAGGATGCCTTTATCAAATACAAGTTCTACATAGGCACAAGCCAGAATAAAAAAGTTACCTGAAAGTAATACCAATTTATTTTATTTTATTTTTTTATAGCTTACTTTAGCAAGGAAAAAATTCCTCTAACTCACAGTTTGTTCTCTTCAGGTAAACAAACATGATATTCTGATGGATTTAGATGTTTGAAACCCTTTTTCCTTGGGTGCCAGCTGCTCTCTATAGCCATGGCTAGTTTGAGGAGTCCTCTGCCAGAGGGCACTACTCTTTCCTGTCTGGTAAATAGCTTGGTATTCAGTCTTCACAAATTGTCCGACTTGGGGACATGTTTCCCTGCATATACATTGCCTGTTTTTCCCTAGCTCTTTCTTACTTCCTTTAACAAAACACACTGATTTTCTTTTACTTCTTCTGCATATGGTATACATTAAATAACTTATTTCTCCTATTTTTTTGATGATTTATTGTGGCTGGATTATTCTGGAACTGGGGACAGTGTACTTTGTTTCTGCTTTTGTGCAGCTTTCAGCTATTTTTGGTTACATCTGCAAAAAGTGCTTTCATGCCAGTCTCCGTTTGCTAATTGGGAATAAATCTTGAGATGAGCATGAGATGCACTGAGCTTCTTCAGGCCACCATAAAGTACCTGGAGTTCTTCAAAGCACCACAGAGAACATTGCTGGCATGCTAACTTCTCAGGGTTTCTAAAACAGAAAACAAGGCAAGCGTAATAAAAATACTAAAAGGTGTATGCTATTATGGCAGAAGTTTGTACTACAAACCATTGGCTTGAACATGCTTAAGTGGAAAGGTTGGCTTGCAGCTATATTTGGTTCCTCTGTTTGCTGGCAAAGTAATGTCCCACAGCTGAAAATGATTCAAGGCACATTGATAATTTTAGTTATTTAAAATGAGATAATGGGCATTCTGACTCTTAAAAGCATGGGCAATATTTCTGAGAACGTTTCTGAAAAGTATGTTCAGTTATAATAGATGAGATGACCAACTTCTCTGACAGAAAGGCTAGTGCCTATATTCCTGCAAAATGTAGATGATGATTTAAATGTTCAAGCTTGTACATTGGTAGAAATTGTGGTAACAATGCTTAAAGATTATCTTAT